AATTCGTAAATAATGCAAAACACGGGATCCTTTTAGTCTCTGTGACATAAAAACGGTTTTTAGTGCACATATCTGATACTTAAAAAATTTGTAATATCCTATCTATTTTTCGACATGTCGATATTTACGACGAAGTCTATTAATAGTATATTGTACAACTAGTGGGAAAAGTGGTCGATTCTGAGCGTGAAGTTGGTCGCACGAGCGAAGCGAGTGCGACCATCATACTCATTTGGGCTCGACCACTCTTCCCACGAGTTGTTCATACTATTTTTCCTAACAAGAGCGTGAAACAGGCCGCTTTTCGCGCTTGTTTTACAATTTCATTTTTCAACTAGTTGAGAAATGGCTCCATTTTTCAACTAGTGGAGAAATGGATCGTTTTGCTCACTCAAAACAAGTGCGAAAAGCGGCCCATTTCACGCTCGCGTTAGGAAAAAGATATTTCGCCATCATTGTTAATTTTAGATACCAATTGGCTCATCAATCAATTTCGCAATTAAATTATCCGCAACGGAAACGAGACTCATTGTAGAGAAGTTCATTAATGTCTTTCAAATGTAATTTATCAAATTATTGAGCCCAACATTTAATCTGTCGATTATTTTAATGCTATTAAATCCTGTATTTTAATACAGACAGGACTATTAGATCATCTTTCATTAAATTCTCTAATCTAAAAGGTTAAACGCTATCACAAAGTGCATTGACTCGCATTTCGATGCAGTTTATGAAGACATATTTTAGACTTCGAAAAGCCTCGTGACTGTTTGTTCGCGGAAAAGTAAACTTTATTAAGTTCAATTATCCGCGCGAGAAACGTACATGTCGTTTCTCCCCTTGGAATTAGGTCCAATCGAGCGATAACGGATAAATGTAGGCTATTTCAATAAATGCGCATGCAAGTCCTCGTCAATCGCCAGCGAGAAAAAGCGGAGCACCGGACTTTGCGGAAATAAAGTTTCGAAAAACGTTACAAGTGAACGTAAAAAAAAATCGGCAACAAAGAACCCGTTTAAAATTTTACTTTTATTTTACATGGAATTTAGATTTAAAAAAAATAAAAATAAAAACTAAATATACATATATATAAAAATACAAATAAAATAAAATTAATCGGCATTGAGTACAAGTAAAAACCGTAGACGTTACGGTTCAATACTTTACTCGCGAGCCTAATTTATGATATAACCATGTTTGCTTCGTTTGACAATTATCTTATCGCACATTTAAGTTTTCAAGCTTATTTTACGACTAATGTTTGTACTTAGATATTTTCGAACCAGATAACACGTTCGTTCGTTCCCCCACTTATCCTTTAATTCAAATGGATTTTCGACACACGCACGCGTATATGCGTATATGAGGTTCTCGTAGTCTTTAACGCACTGTGTGCGTATGTGATTTGCACGTATCCGCGCGTTCTATTACACACACGTCGTGCACGCATTTGGGATCCGCTGGTCAATTTGCGGCAATTACCGAGCTGTTGTGACCGGTTAAAGCCACTTAGTACCCGCGTAGATACGTGCACACGACGAATCATCCGCGACGAATCTCGCCGGCGACGACGGCGACACTGCGAATCCGGCAACCGCGAAAGGTATATGGAGAATTCGCGGTAAAATTGCGTACACGTGCGCGCGTCGCACGTGCGGATTGACAAGGCCTCGATCGAAGATTTCCTCGTTTCGTGAATAAAAATCGGGCGTACGGATAAAAGTGAATGAGAGTCAAGTTACTTTTGACGGCGTGACGCAACCTCAAAGAAATTTATCTTGTAATTTGAAGATTAATTAGTAAGATTGCTAAGCGAGATGTAAGTAATTTAATTAGCATATGGGAAACGCGAGCACAATTTCATTTAAGATCAAAGCCACACGGAGTTCTTTTTTAATTTTGCAATTATGTAACATTACATTTAGAGACTCTTCTGAGAAATTTGAATCGGAAGGTGTGATAGACAGATATTTTTTTCTATTAACTTTATTATTTTATTAATCTCAGCTCAACTTAGCTGCATATAAATATTAACCGATAAAAAATGTATAGTATATAGTTCTGTTATTACGTTTGATTACGTAAAATAATGTACGAGATATATAGTGTAGCTGTTGCACAAACCGTCAGGAAAAATCATTTGCTCAAGCTGAAAATATTCGAAACTTGCGAAGGCCAAAAGGATTAAATCGCGAACGGCTGCAGGCGAGGCACATAGCGCGTTGTTTAGACCGATATATACATCCGGGTTATCTTCAGGGTTAAGGCCGGGTTAACTTTAACTGTGCTTCGTATGATCGAAGAAAAATGCAGGCGTAACCGTGCCTACGTAAGCGAGCTTGCGAGATCTATCATGCCGAAGACACGGCATTGAACGATTAATTGTCGATTCTTTTCACTGTCCTTTTCTTTTTTTTTCATCTAAAGAATCGAAAATTTTAAGAAAATTTAAGGTCATTGCATTTTAATATTTGCGGGCTTTATAACTTTTCGTTGGCCTTATAGATTGCCAATTAGATTCTTTACAGATTTTTATTTTATTTTTTATTTGACTTTTTGCTGCCGTTTTCTCGCATGAGACAGTTCTCTCCTGTTGTCAGTCAAATTGTCAGATTTTTTTTATTTGATTTTTTATTGTTGTTTTTCTGCACGTTGAACGGTCTCTTCCACTTTAATCCTGTTTCGAAGATAATACGTTAAAGATTAGGAATAGCGACTGATACACTTTATAGAGAGATTGTGCACGTTGATGAATCAACGATGTTTGTCGGCAACGACAATGTTCACATACACACAATGGCATGTAACACTGTCGTGACGTAAGAGAGGTGGCTTGTAGTCAATATCGCTTTACGACCTGAGAAGTAGCGGCGGTTTCTGTAGTTCGCGAGACGTGTCTTGTCAGTCATCGAGCAGAGAGATATAAGTACTCGTCGACAGGCAAACCTTTGAAATTCGCGAAACCTTGAGAATCCCGAAGCAGAATTTCGATAGGCCCTTCGGAAGTTCGGAGTAGCCTGTCGCTCCGGATGACGCTGATCGTAACGCTTTTTTTTCTCACTCGAAATGTTTACGGAGGAGCTGTCGCGTCGCAGCTGCGAAGTAACACGCGTGATCGTTTTAAAAGCGTTGGAAAATCGTCGCGGTGAAGCGCGACGCGCGGAAAAAGACCGTCGATTGGCGGTCACGAGCCGCCCGCCGGTTACATAAGCGCGTTCTCGTGATTACAGAGCCTTCTGCCTCGAGCCGAAGGAGAAAGAGAGACGCGATTGCTTCGCGACAGTCGGAATGGATAGAAAGAGAGAAAGAGATAGAGAGAAAGAGAGATAGAGCGCAGAGAGATAGAGGGCAACGACGTGCCGTCGTCGAGAGAACACGAAAGTCCGAATGGATGCTGGATGATCCGAGACGACGAGAGTAGTGAGATAGTGATGTGCGTGCAGCGCATGGTGCGTGTTGCGCGGCCGGTTTACGGGTGCATTTGCAACTGAGAGGTGGAAGGAGAAAGGGGTACGAAATCATTCGAGGAACGATAGAAACAACTTTCCACTACAATTGTATATATTTCTACGATTCGGGGCAGAGAGTCTCAGAAAAGTGATATGAATCGAGCAGGAAACTTCAAGTATCCTCCGAAGTTCCATATTTAACGCAGTAAGTTTACATTACGATAAAACAATTACTGCAATCTTGCATAACGGCGATTTGCACTTACTTCAAATTTATCTTGAAAAGCTTATGATTTTTTTCATACATTGCGAGTAAAATTCTTACTTTTCAATTTATGATGTCTTTCTGCTTCTTTCTTGAATGTAGATGCATTTGTGCTTCGCGAATCAGAAATTTTGGAAACAAAAAGCTAGGATAACGTCAATCAAAGCTTTCGAAATAATAGCTATATATTTTTACTGATAAAAAGAGATATTTGTGAACAAATTCTTGACGAATAAGAAAGAAATCAAAATTATACATTATCTTAAATTACAACCAACACGACTTTCAAGCTTCTTGTGATTAATTAATATCGTCAAAATCACTAATTGTTACATTTATTATTAAATGACAATGACATTTTTATATTTAATACAACAATTTAATATGGCAGGAAATATTTTTAATAAATACTTATTATTATTACAGAATTGATGGAAAGTAATGAAGTTTTATTGAAAATTTATTGAATACACATCATTCACTGCTACATATTATTTGTTTACATATTATCATTAGGGAAGTAATAATCGCATTAGATTAATGAATGTTTGAACGTTGTAAAAATCAGTGTTTTCGCTCGTCACCTCCGAGAGATTTTTCAACGGCTTAAAAACATTTCACTCTACGCCCGTTTTAAACTTCCGGAGTCGTGTTTTTCCAATTGACAGCTGCCTATATATCCCAGATGTTGTCTCGGATGGCAGCGAATGGTTTCGTGAAATGTGCACATTGTGCACGTGCTTACGTACGGAACATTTCGTGATCGATATAACACCAAGATTCAGAATCGTGCACGCGTGATTTCGCGATTGATAAATACCGAGTACGCGGCGTATCGCGTGCTGTGTGTCGTAACGCGGTATCATACGACCGTCAGTCGTTTGATAAGAACACCAACCACGTTGGTCGTTGAAGGGAATTCTAATGAGCTACAACGGACGATTTTAACGGGAATTCTAATAAGTTACGTCGAACAGTAACAATGGGAATAATAAGATAAATATTTATTAGCTATATATGATCGTTGGGCACCTTAGCTTCCGTGAAAAAGATGAAAAGAGCTTTAATACCTAATTCATCGTATAATTATTAAGAAAGTTGATGAGTAAATTGTCGAGGAATTTAACAATTGGATTGAAATTAAATCAGAATCGAATCTTTGGATTTAAGCCTCGCGCTATTGCTGACGTCTGATTATCTCTTCTTGATGTCCGTTGATCCCTTTCGATCTTCCTAGTCAAGTTTCGGGTTAACAGGACGCCGGCGGCTCGTGATTTTGCTTACAGTGGGATCGAGCACGAGGATGAAGTGTACAGCGCGCGCCAACTGGCCGTGCATGACAGCGGTGCCGATTTGGTGAAGATAGAGAAACCATTGCCGGTTTTGGTGCCGAGCGGTGGTGGTGCCGTGTCGACGACGGACTCGAGCCAGGTATCACTGAACGACGAGGAGGAGACTCTCGCGGAGGAATCGGCCATCGACGACGAATCCAGGAGCGACGATCGCCCGTTCGCCGTCACCGCGTCGATCTTTCGCTCGGCCAACGGAAAAACCGGCTGCAAAGACGTTTCGCAAAAGGACGGCGCCTTGCCGAAACACGTCCAGGAACAAAAGGCGTTCGTGCAAGCTCTTAAGGAGTCCCTGGAGGAGTCGATTAAGGAATCGCTCAAGGAGAACGACGAGCCGGCAGCGGCGGACTGCCGACAGTCCCTCACTAAGAAGACGTCCTTCATCTTTCAGGTACGGTCGATGCTCTCAACATATGAGCGAGTAGGTTTTATTTCCTGATCTTGGAATGGAATTTTGAAAACTTTTCTTAAGGGACTTAAAAGTTAAAAATTGCTAGGAATACGGTTGATTCTTTCTAAGGTTGCTAGTCTTCTTGCTTGCTAATTCTTATCATTTTATTATATAATAGCCGCAACTTTTTTGTCAAGACTCTTAAAGTAATATACGGTAAACTTTCAAAATCTTTCTCATCTGTGATTATTGTTTATTGAAAATGTTTGTCAGGTCAGTATCATTTATCAGCACGTAATCCCGTTGCTTATACATACTCGTTATCATCTTGGGATGATAAAATAAACGAATAAAAGAAGAAGTATTTCTCTCTTTCTCGGAGAAAGAGATATCTCATATTTTGGGGTAGACAATCAGTATGAATGGAAATGTACTTGTATGGTTCTTTACAGAAATAAACCCAGATAATTTAATAGTTTCCAAGGACGCAATCGAAATTAAATTTCTTGAATCAAACTTTTACGATTTTAATGATATTTCATAAATTTTATATAAAGAGTGTACAAGAGTTTTTAATAGCGTAAAAATAATTAAAAGAAACATTTGTTGAGAGATATTATTTAATCAAAATTCTTCAAAAGCGAATATTTTAATATAAGAATCTAGATTATAATTTCCAAGTTTTTCTGTCAATTACTTATTCTAGTCCGAGTTTCAGTTGAAAGTACTACTTGGTTTCCATAGCAAGTGCTGATGTGGCAAGCTCTAGGATGACTCGCTCTTATCTCGAGCCGTAATAACGCATCTTTGACCTTTTCCCCTCTAAATCGATCGTGTGATCTATACTTTGTTTCAGGATAAACCGACGGTGGTGCGCGATTCCTCGGACAGTGCTGGACACCGTGATCGTCCGCAGTCGGTTACGAGGCATCTGTTTGCACCGCTCGTGCAGCAACAGGAACAGCAGCAGCAACAACAGGAACAGCCGCAATTATCCTGCCGACCGCAAACGGCCACAGCGAGCATTTTCGCGCCTCGCACCGAGGACATGAACAAGGGCTTCTTGTATTTCAGCGAGGATCATCCGGGTGTCACCAGTGCGTATTCCCCTTTGCGAAGGCCAGAAAGAAATCTCAGACCCTCCATCCGTATTGTCGACTTCTCATGAGAAAAAAGGAGGCTCGAGGGAAAAGAGATAAGGAAAGATATGACGCATGAGTCGAGATTTATTTATCGTTCTCTAACAGAGCACAAGTTCTGACCCGCAGAAATTCTGTCTGAAGAGAGATATATTATGAGAAATACGCAGCGCGATAATTAATTATCATGCAATTCTCTATTTTTTCACCTCGTTTCACCTTCGATCCAATTATATCAGATTTAATTTAGTTTCCCGGAATAAAAGTTATGATATAAAATGGAATGTTTTGTTAATGGAATTTATTGATTTTGATTTGAACTGCTTTTTTTCGAGGTCTTCAATTTTTCTCGTGATTTATGAGATCGTTTTCATCCTCCTCTCTGGTTGACGTTTAATTACCCAAAGTCAATAATCGTTTAGAAAAAGATCGCCGTGTTAAATCGCGCTTTTCGCATTTCGCAGTGTTGAAGGACGAGCCGGATGACCTGACACATCTCGCACCCACGGCTGGCGACGTGTGCGTACCCTTGGAAGATACTCCCTTCCTGTCAGACATGCTGGACGAAATTTTCAGTAACGATCACTACAGCTGTCCTCTGCTGAGTCCGGGCGACCCTCTGACACCGGAGCTGCGTTCCGCGGATCTCTCAGGATCCCTTAAGGACGCAGATCTGGTGGACGCTACTAGCAGGACCAAGGACGCGGTTGATCGTCTGGCCGATAGCGATCCCTTCATGTACGGCGACTCGCCCGGAAGTCCCTGCGGCATCGACCCGAGCGCCGTGTTGCCGTCCCTCTCAAAGTATCGGCAGGTGAGTGACAAAGAATCATTTACTAAAAATTTATTCGAAATTTCTTCTCCAAGATATAATATTAGTGCGCGTATTAACATGTAATAATTATTTCAGAGTCCTGAGCGCAGCATGGACTCATTAGGTAGTCCTACAGGAGGTAGTGGCGGCGATGGGCTTTCCGAGGACGAGATGCTTATGTTAGGTATCAGCGACAGCATAGGCGATGAAGAGTTGGCACTCAGAGCCCCCTATATTCCAATGTCAGATCAGGACGAAGCGTTAGAGCTGCTCATGAACGATGACATGGTCATGTGGAGCTCGTCACAATCTGCCGACAAAGTATCTTCGAAATGGTGAGTGCCACGTTGGTTCTAATCAATGTTATGAAAATTTGCTCTGTAACAGTAATTATAAATCATGATGTAAATAACCACAAGATAAATTATTATATAAGATTAATATATAATAAAAGCGTAAAGAGAAACAAAATAAAAAATACGATAATTTATTTTCATTTCTTTGTGCTCCGTTTTCATTTTGCTGTTTCTTTTCCGACAGGCTACTCGACGATCGAGAGCAACGTAATTCTGAATCCAGTCTGGCACAATTGCTACGAACCGACCAAGCGGTATCGCGGCGATACAACGATCACGGCGGAGGTTTGCTAAATCCGACGCAATTACTGGGGCAAACACCCAGAAAAAGTAAGCGTGTACTTTTTCTCTCGTCCGTCGTTTTGTTTACACTGTACTTATCTATTTTACATTTATTTTTTATATTTGCAGATGTATTAAATTATATTGATAGTTTATTATTAACTTTATACAACAATTGGATATAAGTATATAAATTTTATATTTAATATTACAGTTATATAGATTATTATATTAACGAACATAATTAACACCCGTGTCGTTTTGATCTTGCAGACACAATCTTCGAGTCCGATCGATGGTCCTCTAATCAGGAACGCCCGAATAAACGCATTCACTCCGGATTTAATATGGACTCCGAAAGCGAGTACAAACGTCTTAAGTGCGACGACTCGTCTTTTGAGCGTATAAATCTCGAAGATACTTTATTAACGAAGCAACAGCGGCTATCGACAACGCTTCACAAGAAGTCACTACCGAGTCTCGGTAATACCTGTGGTAGCCAGCTTTTGCGTCGCCTCGTCTCGTCGCAAATACCGAGCATCGCATCGCAGGCGACAACTTTATCCGACATTGATGGCGATATTCGCGGTGACGGCGAACGTCGCCGCGGGGACATTTTGAAGCAGCGCGCTCGCGTCCTCGACGATCTCATCGACCTCGTTGAGGCAGAGGGTGATCGCGGCGGAGGAGGAGGCGGAGGCGAAAATCGCAGCAGCATCGACGATGGCCTAGACAAGATCGACACAACAAGCCGGAGGAGGAATCCTTCCTGCGGCACTGGTGGCAGCAGTGTGCTAATGAATCTCCTGGTTTCCGGCTGCGACGTGAGTGCGGGATACGTTTGCTTGGTGAAACCAAAGCCAACGGCGAAGGGCACTGGAAACGCGTGACGACGTTTTCAGGAGGAAGCGAGCGTCTAAAGGGCTGCCTCCTTTTGGCCGCTGTCTCGTCGTTGTTGATTCATCCAGAGCGAGAATTTGCATGCGACTCGAAATATTCGCACAACTACGTGGCTGATTTTCAGAAATGAAATTGTAGATGGAGACGAAGGGCCAAAGGAGACGGCGAATACTAGTTTCTGTGGTATCCGATCGCGATCTCGAGCCAATAAAAATTCTTCTTACTTTTTATACGTCCGCTTGTTCCTCGAGTTTGCGTCCGCGAGTTCGAAGATCGCGTCTGAAGTTTCGAAATAAAGAAGGAAAAAGTATAAAGTTGCGCCCTTTGAAAGAAAGAGACGCAAAATGAGTTTGTTGCGAATTGGCAGTCGAAGAGAAGGAGTCATAGACAAGCGAGGTAGTTTCGCTTTGTCGTTTAATCCTAAAATGCACTGCGTTCAATGTTTATCTTATTGTTAGATAAAAAGGATACATATTAATATATATATATTATATATAATATATATATATATATATATATATATATATATATATATATATGTATATATGTGTGTATGTATATGCATATATAGTTTATAGATGAAACTAACGCTTTTATTCATATTGAAAATGAATAGAAAATATATTATATAATCAGAAAAAAATAAAAAGAGAAACTTATGAGAGAAGTTTTACTATAACAAGTTTACTATAACAATTTCTAGAGTTGTATGAGTGGTTAATTATATAAACAGCGTTGCTTTGGAGCGCATTTTAGGATTAAACGAGCTGTACTTTAGAGCGACGTTATGTACACAATTTGCAAAGTATATGGAATTGTTGATTGAATATTATGGAAATACATGGAACATCGAATTACCTGATCAGCTGCGTTTCGTTTCCTCCCACCGTCGTCCTACAACGTCCACCATTGTTCTATGACTCGCAATTTTACTATCAAATCTATTGTCAAGAATCATCATCTCCGTACAAACGTTCAATATAATTAGACGCGATTTTATTTTATCGAGTTATTATTAGCAACTGAAAGTTTAAAAATCAAATCTCTTCAAGAAAATTAAAATGCTGCTAGATACAAAAACGATAAATTAACATTTAATTATTCAGAATAAAAACTTATCTTTTTGAATAAAAGAATATTTATCTCATACATTTCCAACTTCATCTGGAAATTCACTTCTGTTCAATCATTTTGAATAACGATTTTTATTAATTCTTTTTTACTTGTGCTGCTTTTTCATATATCAATTACTTAGTTTTAAAACTTACTCACAAAATAATTTTTACCGGATAATTAGAAGAAATGTACCAATGTTATTAATGGACGTGACCGATCATCAAATACTTTATTCACCTGAAAATAAAGATTACGATCACGTGGTGGCTATCGTCTTTCATGATCTGTAACGAAGGTAAGCCTCGTGGCTTACCTTCATCTAGATCACGCGATGTGATAGTCACAGTCACTTTGCTCAGCAATCGTTTATTTACATTTATTAGACGCCTCTAGAGTCACGCGAACAGCAAGAAAGAGCGCCTAAGGGAGTTGAAAAAGAGGTTTATCGCTTGACTTGTCACTTATCAGCATGATTTCCCTGCTCTATCCTATTTCTTTTCCCACGAAACGCAGCAATGTTTTTTTATTTTTTTTCAAGTCAACAACAACAAAAATTCATTTGTCAAGTAGTTAAGCTCTTAATATGAAGAATTAGGAAATATAAATTGTAGATATTTATGTATTGATAAGACGAAGATAGACATTTGATGAGTTTTTCTTTACCTTTAAATTGAGATTATCGCTTAATTATGCTTAAAGATTATGCTTAAATATTTAGAACGAAAAATCTTGATAATTATTAAATCTTAAATTAGATAAAATTTCAGCTCTTACTTAATTGTCAAAATTCGTTGACTCATCCTCTTTTCCATCTTTTCAAATATATCCTACGATAAAATAACAATCTGAATAATAGTAATTTCGTTTTTTTAGGATCCTCTGATCAATTCCCGCAACGTACCAACTCTGTTACCAAGGAACCTGACGACCCCGTTGTCCGTCAACGTGGACAATCAGATGGTACCGCATTGCGGGAACGCGGACGTCATATCCTTGCCCGACCACCTCAGTCCGGACACCAGGAAACACTTGATCGGGCCCTTCACCGGCAACGGCGGAGACGGGAGTACAACTCCCATAGTCTCACCCACGACGTCCGCGATGGTGTCTTTCGATGGCTTCGACTACGACGCATCCGCGGGCCTGCTCGAAGTGGGACCAGATGTACTCGGGAATCTACTGCTCGGGGATCGAAATCTGGTGTGATCCATCGCAATGTGATTTATATGGGCACGCCAGAGGATCGATCGATCGATCAGGGAAATTAGAAGCCGGATTCGTTCAATATTTATGTCTTTCGTAAGAAGTTCTTCTTTCATTCCTTTTTTGTGACACGATTTAAGTGTTGCTGCGATATATCTTTACTTCTTCATTGTAATTAAATTATAAGTAAACTGCTGATTAATTTTCTATTGTCGACGTCACACTCGATTTCAGAGCCTGTGCAATATACTAAATGCAGAAATAGAGAGCGGAGAAAGAAATTAGAGTGCGTTACGCGAGATTTCATGAGAATCCTGCTTCTAATTTCTGCGTGTAAATAAAATCATTTAATTCCCGGTGCTCTTTAATAATTTGCTAAGCTGAAGATCCCAGAAACGTGGTAAACGCAGCGCAGTTTATATTAGGTGTTCAAAAAGACATTCGATTAATGTAAAAGTGGCGCAACTCGAGAAGCTTAGATTCAGATTTAATTAATATTTTTAGAGTGACCTTTTTTTACGATGATTTCTTCAAGTGGCAATCGATTCGCGTCATTTCAACGATCGATACTTTTTTACATTCTCCGAAATTTGCGAGCGAATGTTTATCAAGTATGTCAATGGGTTTTTACAAATTTAGACGAGGAAATTAATTTGTATGTTCTGACGAGCTGCGTAGCGAGTTAAGTTTGGCAGGATGATGCTCTGTTGTAAAAATGCGAGTCATATCTTTCAGTCGAGTCGATCAAAGGTTATACCGTTTTTATGATAAAGAAATTTGTAAAATTTTTGTGCAGATATTTAGTTATTCTTCTATCATGTGTTTTATAAACATTACATGTATTATAATTCTTTTGATTGTATCGAAATACGTTGGTAAAATTGTCGAAAAAAAACACGTTTAAAGAATAATTCTGGTAATTAAGATTTAACGTTCTAGAAAATTATTTTCTATTGCTAATTTTTAATTTTTGTTGCAAATTTCTATTCGATTACTTTTATTTGCTTTTACAAAATAACGTTCGATGCGGTAGGATTTAGAATGTAGGCATAATAAAGTTAATAAAGTATGCATAATTATCGAGGAAAGTGGGATAGTAGATAAGATGTTATCTAATAATAATAATAATAATAATAATAATTATCGAACTTTAACGTGTTCAAAAATTTACAAACATCCATAGAAAAACAATCTCAACTTGAGAAAGAAAAATAAAATAAATAATTATTTAAATATTTCTAACAGAAAGGAAAATGTTATAGCCTTTTAGCGGTTCGATCTGTCTTTTCTAAAAGTTGTATATAAACGAGTGCATTTATACGCATTGGCGTGCAAATTTGCGTATACGTATATTATTAACTAATTAAGTAGGGAATTTAACGAATAAAATAGAAGAAAGAAGTAATAAGTTGAGAGCGATATGTTGGGTTTCAGAAAGTAACGAGTGATTATCCCATCATTTCGAAATTCAAGAAAGTAATTAAAACAAAGAAAAGAAGCGTGGACAACTTCTCGATATTAGTTCCATTTAAACAATGCAATGTCAAGAGCGGTGAACAAAAAGTATTTTTGCGACATCTTTTTGTACACATCACATAATTTAATTTTAACATTCCTTTAAACATCGCTTTGCATATTTTCAGAATAAAATAAAAATGGAGCAATATTAGTTATCAGATCATTTTTATTTTTAAAATCGATAAAGCATGACAAGTCGCGGCGTTGCTGCGATTTTAGCGTTGCATTCAAATCGCTTTCGAATTAGGAAGTCGCAATACTGACATTCTTGTCGCATGTTGCTGACTACCATTGTCTTTATTGATTGTTATTGCGGTAATTTCTACTAAGCTTTAACCAAGATTCATTTGTTGCTACTGCACCATGATTACTCGTTGCATACAACTAATATCTTCTATTTAGCATTATGTTTGTGACTGCAATTTATTACTGCAGTTATTATTGTCATATAAATTCAAACATGTATTTTTTTATTATAATTTTATTATTTTAATACATTATTATATATTACAGGTTTAAAGATACTATAATAACGTTGAATTAACAGGTAGTTGACGCTATGATGTGGATACGATATAGTTAAAAAAAAGATAACCAATATTTAGAAATAAATAATATTTCTAAAATTGAGTTACATACTTTTTCACTTTTCACCAATTATAACTCCAAACATTTTAAGATGCGTTCCGAGTTTGCAGTTAAATTAATTTAAAAGTCTAGGAACTCTCTTAGAACTTTTGATAGCATTTTTATAAAACATATTTTTTGATACATTATCAATTTTTAAAACTCGTGTATCGTCGCATTGATAGTTAAACTCTGCCGATAAATTACCGACAATAGATAATTTATCGACCGTTGTCTTTAAATAAAAAATTTAAACTTAAAAATTTGTAAAGTGTGTGAACAGAATACAATTATATAAGAGCGCGTATTTTTATTAAAATTATAAGAATTGTAAATTTATAAAATTGTAAATTTCTAAATTTGTCGATAAATACCGACGATTAAAATTTATAATATGTATATGGTATACGAACAACAAAAGTAGACAAGAGTGCAAGCAAGCGAGAATGTGTTATGGATGAATATGTATGAAGAGTAATAATAATTATAGAAAAGCTGATTAATAAATAATGTATAACATTTTGTAATTTTTAAAAAATTAATAAAATCTATTTTGATACAACAACAAAATGCCTGTCTTGTGAATTAATAAGCATACCTTTTGCATCTATTTTCTATACGCTGAATTAATTTATTATTAAATTAAGATTTTCTCTCTTGTGATTCTGAGAATAATATAAGTTTTATTAAAATCTAAAATCTTAAAGGTAATTATTTAGAAAAACTTACACAGCACGAATATCCTTGACTTGGACATATATCTTATAGAGGGTTAATCCCTGTGTAAAATGCGCTTTGAATCAGGCGACGGTTTCTTATAGTTCTTGAGATATTTCCAATGTGACTAACAAATATATAACTGAGAAATATAACAGTTTATGTCAGTACTAAGGAAAGTAATTTACTGATATGTGTGTATCGTCCCTCCTGCAGCAGGGATGGGGAGGACCTCGGTTCGCATGGCAAGTTAATATAGTTCGGCCACTACAGTAGTATGTCAAAGAAAAAAAATCTGAATTAACCCTTTACCTGTATACGTGGATCTATGGCGTCCGACCCAAAACAACATCTTCTTGTAACTCCTTGTAACTTGAGAATCGGCAAGCCTGCTTCTGTTTGGCTCCCTCTAAAAAAAAGTAGATGAGGGAAGGAATCCAAGGACTCAGCCGCTTCGAAAGATAAACATATCGCTGAATGCCGAACAAGTCAAATCACGCACAAACGTCTCAGATCCAAGTATACATGGAAAGTAATGAGAATGATTTTTTTGTGTGAGAAAAATGGGGGTCGAGAACTATCTATCACGGGGAATCTCAGTTATATGATCCGTCCTCAGTTGAGCCCGAGTCTTTCGAACAGTCGTTATGTTACAGAAGTGCACCTTGTTTTTCACTCTCGTCGCGGACGAAAATGCAGAGGATTAATGCTATCAGTAAAAGGAACGCAGTACTGAAACATAGTAGCGACAACAGGTAAACATTGTCCATAAAAAATAAAGTAAAAAATCACTCTACAAAATAACTGGGGAATCATATTGATAAGCGATCACTTTTCGTATGGAGGGGACCCGGGGGGACACTCGAGATGTTCTCGCCATCCATTGAGGCAAAAGCAACTGTACGTACGGCGACGACTTAATTGTAAAATTTAACATTTTGAACTTTGCATCGTAATATCTCCGCTCGTAGGGCACGTAGCGGAAAAATAAAAATAACACTCTTATTATATAATTCAAACCCAAGCTATCGATCAAGCCTACTTAGAACTTGATCCGTTCACTCGTTATTGAGATCTCAAAATCTCGAGTACTCGATCCGCAACTCGTGCGTTCGCGTAAAGAGTCACGGTACGGTCTTAGGCCAGTCAATAAAGACAATCAATTCACTTTAATTACAAAAGTTTTCAAATTTTGATGTAATATTGGGTGAGTTGAAATAACAATAAATCTCATTTTGCAACCATCCCCGAGGTCCGGAACATGCTAAACATTGCAAAAAACGTTAATTTATTATAACTTTGCGAAAAAAATTGCAAAAGTCCTGCAAACTTAAAGCAATGTCTATTGTAATATTTTCCGCAATGTATTAGATTTGCAACCTATTTCGAGGCGCGCAACATTGAAATTTTTTATAAAATAACGTATTTAGTCAAATAAGTTGTAATAATTTGCGTAACTAGTAGAGGGTTGCAAATTTATATTTGGATAAGGGAAGACATTTGAAGCACTCCGTAAAATTTGCAAAACTTTTGCAATTTTTTCACGCTTGTAAAAAGTGCAAAATAATAATTGTTGCTAATTTTTCACTGTTGCGGACCTTGTCCGAGGTTGCAAACTTAACAGCTTGTGACGAAAAATAATCTCAACGTTTGCAACCAATTTGCAAAACTTTTGCAATTTTTTTGACAAAATTACGACCAAATAAACAATTGTTCCATCATTGATGAAAAAAATATATATTGCGTGCAACATAGAAGGTTGCAAATTGGCACAACTGTTCGGGGCAATTGTAAAAGTTATTCTATCAATTTGCAGCACTTTTGCAATTTTTTTCGCAAAGTTATAATAAATTAACATTTTTTTGCAATATATTTAACATGTTCCGGACCTCGGAAATGGTTGCAAAATGAGATTTATTGTTATTTCAACTCACCCAATATTCCATCAAAATTTGAAAACTTTTGTAATTAAAGTTAAATTTTCGAATTTTAGTGTCTTTATTGACTGGCCTATCTCGCTTCGCGTGTACTTGGCATGAGACACTACCGTGTCTCTTGATATTTTTCTGAAAAATTTTGAAGCCTGAAAATGTGCGTGGTGCAATTTTTTCCGGGTTGACTCTTTTTTTCCATATTATCTACGACACTCTCAGAGTTCTACTAATTGCTAGCAGTAGCGAAAAAAAAGTTTTGACCTGGAAGAACGGCAATCAAGAATTCATCACAAAGTGATTTACGCAGAGACATAGCGATGACGCAAGGCCTTTCGAAAAAAATATATTTCTGCATGCTTGAAGAAGCTAGAATCAAAAGACACGGTTAGTGTCTCGCGTCAAGCATACGCGCAGCGAGATAGACCGTGTATATATATATATATATA